TTTGTGGTAACCAGTGCCGGCTCATTCTTGGCATTCGCCCTTTGGGAGTGTTGAGTTGCTGATTTGGGGCCGTGCGTAGAGGGCGTATCCCAGGGTCTCAAGCACGCTCTTGGGCAGAGCCACTGCCCCGGTGGAGCGCTCGGGCGCAGAGCGTCACAGCTGCGGCTCCTCTTCCCGCCGCCGGAGAGCGCTCGACGGCAGGCTGGAGGGCACGCTCATCGCGTTGCTCCTCTGATTGGGTCATTCTGCCCTGGGAGCGGCAGGGAGGTGGAGGCCCGCCCTGTTTCTGGGGTGGGCTCGCGACCTCAGGAGAGCCCGCGCGGTCGGCGCAGGCGGGGGCCGCGGCGGCCGAGGCTTGCGCGAAGCCCCTCGCTCGATTGTCCTCGACTGCCCTCCTTCTCGTCGTCCTCCTCCTCCTCCACCTCCTCCTCGTCCTCTTCCTCCTCCTCCACCTCCTCCTCCACCTCCTCCTCCTCCTCCTCCTCCTCCTCCTCCTCCTCCTCCTTCTCCTCCTATGCTATTTCTCGCCCCGCTCCCCCCTGCGCCTTACCCGAAGAAGGAAAGAATGCACGTTTTCGCGGCTCCTGGGGGGCGTCATCGCGCGGGGGGCATGTGCGCGCGCACGCTAGGCGGGACGCGCAATGGGGGGATTTGTACTCGGGGCGGAGATGGGGAGTTTGAGATGGTGGGTCGGAGGAGAAGGGGGGGGAGGGGGAGGAGGAGCCCCCGGTCTCCCTCCACACATGCAGACTACTAGCGCTCTCCCCCCCCTCTCTCTCTGTCTTTCTTTCTTTCTTTCTTTCTTTCTCTCTCTCTTTTTTGTTTTTCTCTCTCTCTCTCTCTCCCTCTCTCTCTCTCTCCCTCTCCCTCTTTCTCTCTTTCTCTCTTTAACTCGTTATTCCTCTCTCTCTCTTTCTTTCTTTCTTTCTTTATTTATATGTTTTTTTTTGTTCTCTCTCTCTCTCTCTCTCTCTTTTTTGTTTTTCTTTTTCTCTCTCTCTCTCTCTCTCTTTTTTTTTTTTTTTTTTTTTTCTCTTTCTCTCTCTCTCTCTCCCCATCTCCCTCTCCGTCTCCCTCTCTCCCTCTGGCCGCGGGCGCGAGAGTTTCACGCAGAGCGCTGCCCCCCGGCCCCCTGCCCTCAGGTTGCCCGCCGCGGCGGCCACAGCGCAGCCGCGAGCCACCTGTGCCCGCGGCCCCGGAGTGGTGACCGAAGGGAGGCACTTCCTCGGCATCATGCTCTGCGTCGGCTGGTTCCAGCACGGCTCCGACTGCGCCATGGACTACCTCCGCGTCGGCGAGGTGACCAATGGCGATTGCTTCAACGCGGTGCCGCGCATCGAGCGAGCGGCCGCATGCACGAGCGTCGGGCGACCGACGCGGCCCCCAGGCCCTCAGCCCGGCCTCGCCCTCGACGCCGAGGTGCATCACCTGGGCACCCCGCGCGCCCCCCTGGTTCACAATCTGGCGGTTTGCCCTCCCCCCACCCCCGGGGCCCGTGGCGCGCCTCCATCGGGCTCGCGCACAGGGCGCTCCAGCAACGTCGCCATCAAGGAGGCTGTGGTGATCAAAGCACGCCAACATGAGTCGACCAAAATCGTCATGGTGAAGTCCATCGAGGGCAACGAGGTATTGAGGGAGGTTGCGATGATCAAGGCCCGCTTGAATGTGGCGGCCAAGATTGTTTTGGAGAAGCCCATCGAGGGCAAGCAACGCCAGGAGAAGGCGACCCAAATCGGGGGTCAGAGGATATTCGACAATGTCGCTATCATAAAGGTAGTGGAGGCCGCCAGCGGCGGCTGAGAGGCGCTCGGCCCGTCGGTGGCTGCTGTGTCGGGCATTGGTCCTGCCTCGTCGCCGCGGTGGGCGCCTTGGAGTGGCTCGTCCCTCGTCGCGTCGCAACGGCTGGACACCTCCATATTTTGTTGTCGTTGTCGTTGTCGTTGTCGTTGTCGTTGTCGTTGTTGTTGTTGTTGTTGGTGGTGGTGGTGGTGTTGGTGTTGGTGTTGGTGTTGGTGTTGGTGTTGGTGTTGTTGTTGTTGTTGAACATTATTTATTCTAAAGAATAATTATTGTTGGGCCCCCTGGTGCACGCCCCCCCTGCGCCGCCTAGGCCGCAGCTACATTTTCATCATTTTCGTGAGGAAGCCTCAGGTAATACGATGTCATCAAGATCCGGTTGTTTTGTTGTAATCCGTTTTCCCTTGCAAAAAAAAACACTATAAAATGACATTTCTTGTTCTAATATAATCAAATTTCAAGAATCCCTTGCAAAAAATAAGGTAAAGTGGACATTCGCGCGCGCAAGACGAAATCCTTCCAAAACCTTAGTGTTCGCAGCGATTTTAACATAAAAACATCAAAAAAACCAATGGTTTTTTTCAACAAAAAATTGTCAAAATCTCATCCCGCGCGCTCTTGCGGATTCGTAGGAAACCCAACACTTTTTAAACATTTCTGTCAAACGGGCTTTTGCGAGCAACTTTTCGAACTTCTGCGACAACGGTTGCGCACCTGCCAGGGCCATCATCCCTGTCAAATAATACCATGCGGGACACATTCGTTTTTTCTTCGCGCGCGCACGCCGTCGTCGTCGGCCGCGGGGCCCTGAATAGTAGCCACGGTCGTCCGCATGCCACGAAGTGAAGTGTCCGAACGTCTTAGGGCGGGAAGCTGGGTGTGGGTGGTGGCGAAGAGTCGTTTGGAAATTTGGTAGAGCTTGAACCGGCCCCCCCACAAAGTGGGGGTATTGCCCGCCTCCTATGAAAACCCTGGCACTGGTGAGAACGGAGTGTCCCCACGTGCTAGTAATTGTTTTGTTGTTGTTGTTGTTGTTGTTGTTGTTGTTGTTGTTGTTGTTGTTGTTGTTGTTGTTGTTGTTGTTGAACATTATTATTCTAAAGAATAATTATTGTTGGGCCCCCTGGTGCACGCCCCCCCGCCGCGCCTAGGCCGCAGCCTACATTTTCATCATTTTCGTGAGGAAGTCTCAGGTAAAACGATGTTGATCCAGATCCGGTTGTTTTGTTACGATCCGGTTTTCCCTTGCAAAAAACAATAAAATGGACATTTCTTGTTCTAACATAACAAACTTCAAGAATCCCTTGCAAAAAATAAGGTAAAGTGGACATTCGCGCGCGCAAGACGAAATCCTTCCAAAACCTTAGTTTTCGTAGCGATTAAATTAACATCCAAAACCTTAGTTTTCGTAGCGAGTTTAACATAAAAACATCAAAAAAACAATGGTTTTTCAAAAAACAAATGTCAAAATTTCATCCCGCGCGCTCTTGCGGATTCGTAGGAAACCCAACACTTTTTAAACATTTCTGTCAAACGGGCTTTTGCGAACAACTTTTTCGAACTTCTGCGACAACGGTTGCGCACCTGCCAGGGCCATCATCCCTGTCAAATAATACCATGCGGAACACATTCGTTTTTTCTTCGCGCGCGCACGCCGTCGTCGTCGGCCGCGGGGCCCTGAATAGTAGCCACGGTCGTCCGCATGCCACGAAGTGAAGTGTCCGAACGTCATAGGGCGGGAAACTGGGTGTGGGTGGTGGCGAAGAGTCGTTTGGAAATTTGGTAGAGCTTGAACCGGCCCCCCCACAAAGTGGGGGGTATTGCCCGCCTCCTATGAAAACCCTGGCACTGGTGAGAACGGAGTGTCCCCACGTGCTAGTAATTGTTGTTGTTGTTGTTGTTGTTGTTGTTGTTGTTGTTGTTGTTGTTGTTGTTGTTTGCTCCGTGGGTGTCTGGTCCGCTCGTCGCCTGCTGCGCTCCCTCGGAAAGCTGAGTTTGCTCAGCTCTCGCTCACCGTAGGCGTGGGCGTCGGGCTGCGTCCCAAGGCATGTCGAATCCAGCTGCTTCATCAGAGTCTTCGCAGTCCTCCTCCTCCCCTCCTCCTTCTCCTCCTCCTCCTCCTCTTCCTCGTCCTTTTGCTCCCCCTCCTCCTCCTCCTCCCCATTCTCCTCCTCCTCCTCCCCTCCTCCTACCAGTTCCTCCTCATCCTCCTCTCCTACCCCATTCTCCTCCGCCATCCTCCCTCTCCCTCCTCCTCCTCCGCCTCCTGCTCCTCCTCCTCTCCTCCTCCTCCTCCTCCTCCCTCCTCCTCCTCCTACCTCCTCCTCCCCCTCCACCCCACCTCCCCCCCCCCCCCCCCCCCCCTCTCGCCCTCCCCCTACCGCCTGTCCCCCCCCCCGCTCGCCCAGATCTGCCGCCCATGATGCGACGCGCAAGTGTGCCCTTGTGCTCTGGCCCCGCCACGTCCCGCAAGACTGTTGCCGTGCCCCTCGCGGAGCATCGCATTCCATAGCCGAGGCGGCGCAACTGCGCCGCCGCGCATGGCGCGGCGCGCCTCCGTCTGCACACTCGCGCAGCGACGCGCGACAATTCGATCAAGGCGCGGCTTTCCAACGCCCTTCCCCGCTCAGCTAGTTGGAGCGCGATGCGCGTTGCATTTCAGCCTTTTCACGGGGGCGGCGTGGGGTAGAGGCGAAGACGGACATGTTCTGCGAGCGCAGCCTAAGCGGGTGTGGGGGGGTGGAACACAAACATCGCGAGCGCTCGCAGGATCATCCCACCCTCACCTCACAGGGAGATGCGTACGCGCACTACAAGAAAACCCCGTTTCTCTCTTTCTCTCTCGCTTTCTTTCCCTGTCTCCGACTCTCCTCACTCCTTCTTCTCCCTCTCCCTTTCCATCTCCCTCCACGTGGATGCCGCCGATGATTTTGGTGGGGCGGCTGTGCGGCGGGCTCCGCGAATCCAGAAACGGTGCCAGACGGTCCAGGCAAGGCCGCGAGGGAACCCAGAAGCGCGCGAAGGCAGGCCCACGAACACCCCAGAACGGCTTGAAGAGCACTTCGAGAGTGGAGCTGCGACAAAGCACGATGCCGCCTCTATCTGGTGGCCGTCGGCCTATCCCCACCACCGTGCCTGGATTGTGGACCGGAGGCTGCTGAATTCGTATAGCTCGGGAGCTTTGAGACGGGGGTGAATGCAGACGGGGGTCAGCCAGGGCGCCGGATCCTGCATGATCCTGCGAAGGCCCCCTCTGGCTGACCCGGGTCAGGGAGCCGCTCGTGGCCGCGAGGCGGCCGCACATGTTGGCTGACCCGGGTCTGCGAAGACCTGCGTTGCAGTTCTTTTTCCTGCATGGCAGTTTTTGGTTTCCTGCTGACCTGGGTCTGGATTGACCCGGGTCAGAAGATCCCCGAATAGCGGTATCTTCGGGTGCCTGTCGGAGGCCTCTTCGAGGGCTATTGGGGGGCCCTCGAGGGTCCCTGCGCCGCCCCGCGGTCACGGGGGGAGGGCGGCCGCGGGCCCCGCGGGCACAGGACGCGCCCCCACCCCCCTTCTTGCCCTCCCTCCCCATTTTCCGCCCATGGTTGCAGCTCCTCCTCCTCCTCCTGCTCCTCCTCCTCCTCCTCCTCTTCCGCCTCTTCTCCTCCTCCTCCTCCTACTCCTCCTCTCCTCCCTCCCCTCCCTCCCCTCCCTCCCTCCTCCCCTCCCTCCCTCCCTCCCTCCCTCCCTCCTCTCCCCCCTCTGCGGGCACAAGGGCAGGGCGGCCGCGCGGCCGCCCCCTCTCGAGGACACGGTGAGCTTCGCGGGGGGCTCTGGCGGCAAGCCCCGCGAGGCGCGCCGCGGCAGCGGGCGGCGGCCCCTCCCGAAGCCGTCCCTTCCTCGTCGCGTCCTTTGTCTCCTCGCCCTGCTCTTCCCGCGCAGCCTCCGCGCTCCTCCGTGTGCCTGCTCCCCTTGTCCTGCCCTTTTCTCCTGTTCTCCTCTGCCCTCCTGGTCCTCCCGATCCCCGTGTCCTCTGTTGCTCCTCCCTCCTCCTGAATGGGTGGGGGAGTAAGGGAAGGAGGAGGAGGACGACGAGGAGGAAGAGGAGGAGGAGGAGAAGGAAGAACAGGGTAGGACAGAAAAATAGATGACAGGATAACAGAGGATAGGATGATGATGTGGATGATGTGGATGATGATGATGATGATGATGATGATGATGATGATGATGGCAATGGTGCTGGTGGTGGTGACGATGACGATGATGTCGATGATGGCGATGATGATGCTGCTGCTGCTGATGATGATGATGATGACGTTGTTGATGTTGATGATGATGATGCTGTTGTTGTTGATGATGATGTTGCTGATGCTGATGCTGATGATGCTGATGCTGATGCTGATGCTGATGCTGATGCTGATGCTGATGATGATGGTGGAGATGATGATGATGATGATGATGATGATGATGATGATGATGATGATGATGATGATGATGATGATGATGATGATGATGATGATGATGATGATGATGATGATGATGATGATGATGATGATGATGACGACGACGACGACGACGACGATGATGATGATGATGATGATGATGATGATGATGATGATGATGATGATGATGGTTCTCCAAATAGGCTTGCCCTATAGGAGTCCTAGCTCGAACCCTACTATTTGGTCCGTTGCCCCCTAATTCCTATACCCCCCCCTAATTCCTATGGCTATGCCTATGCTTATGCCTATGCCTCCCCCCTAACTCCTATGCCTACGCCTATGCATATGCCTGCTTGCTTGCTCGCTTGCTTGCTTGCGCGCTTGCATGCTTGCTTGCTCGCTTGCTTGCTTGCTTGCGCGATTGCTTGCACGCGTGCTTGCTTGCTGAATTGCGGATTTTTAGCGTGCTTGATTCCTCAGATTCCTTGATTTGCGTCGTCTAATCTATTCCCCCACAAGGCTTGCCATGTAGGAGTCCGAGCTCAAACCCTACTAATTGGTTCGTTGCCCCCCTTAATTCGTATGCTCCCCCAACAACAATCCCTATGTTTATGCCTATGCTGATGCCCATGCCTTTGCCTCCCGCCTAACTCCTATGCCTACGCCTATGCCTATGCCTGCTTGCGTGCTTGCTTTCTTGCTTGCACGCTTGCTTGCTTGCGTGCTTGCTTGCTTGCGCGCTTGCTTGCACGCTTGCTTGCGGATTCCAAGCATGCTTGATTCCTCATATTCCTTGATTTGAAGCGTCTAACCTGTTTGTATTCAACGCTGGCTGATATGATGAGGATGCTGATGATGATGATGACGGCGATGATGATGATGATGATGATGATGATGATGATGACGATGCTGATGATGATGATGATGATGGTGGTGATTCTGATGATGCTGGTGATGGTGATGATGCTGATGCTGATGATGATGATGATTGGTGGTGATGATGATGATGATGCTGATGATGATGATGCTGTTGCTGATGGTGATGATGGTGGTGATGATGACGATAACGATGATGATGATGATGATGATGATGATGATGATGATGATGATGATGATGATGATGATGATGATGATGATGATGATGATGATGATGATGATGATGATGATGATGATGATGATGATGATGATGATGATGATGATGATGATGATGCTGATGCTGATGCTGATGCTGATGCTTATGCTGATGCTGATGCTGATGCTGATGCTGATGCTGATGAGGTGATGAGGTGATGATGATGATGATGATGATGATGCTGATGATGATGATGATGATGATGATGATGATGAGGATGAGGAAGAGGAGGAGGAGGAGGAGGAGGAGGAGGAGGAGGAGCAGGATGGTGATCATGGTGGTGATGATTCATGGTCGCATGGTTGTTGAAATACAGTCAACGCCTACGTGTGCACAGGCGGGGAACTGATGGGCGCTGATATCCTAAAGCCGCCAATGATCCAAATAGTACCGTGACCATACGCATATGTCCACGATGCCCAGCCACGCCCTCGACAGAGCGAGCGGGAGTCTGACGCCGAACGCCCATTTACAGCAGAAGAAGAATAATCCCACGGGGTAGGTGTGCGACTCTGCGACGGCACAGAGGTGGCTCCACCAAACAGCAGCACCCAACTTGAGCTCGGTGCAAGAGAGGGACAACGTAATGGCACCAATTGGATAGGCTGAGCCTGTAGACTGCCTGGCGCCGATTCCGCCAGCGCACGAGGGACACCTTGAGCCCACGGCGAATAGGTGAACTGGAGCCCGCCCATGCACCGCCGTTGCCAAAGAGCCGGGTCAGGTGCATGATGATGACGATGATGATTTATGGTCGCATAGTTGTCGAAAGACGACCAACATCTACGTGGGAACAGGCGGGAAGCTGATCACGCTATCGCGCAGCACCAGCTTGGACCTCGCAGTGCGATGCGGCGAGTGTTGCTGCACCCCGCCACGTGCCGCAGCACCTGCGAGTGTGTCCCGGGCACCACGGGCCCTAGGAGTAACGAACACGACATGTCGGGGACGGTGATCCCGATGATGATGATGACGACGATGATGATGATGATGATGATGATGATGATGATGATGATGATGATGATGATGCTGATGATGATGATGATGATGGTGATGATGATGATGGTGATGATGATGGTGATGATGACAAAGCTGGTGATGATGATGCTGATAACGATGATGATGGTGATGGTGATGATTCGGATGGTTATACTGATGTTGATGTTGATGATGACTATGACTATGATGATGGTGATGATGATTATGATGATGATGATGATGATGATGATGATGATGATGATGATGATGATGATGATGATGATGATGATGATGATGATGATGATGATGATGATGATGATGATGATGATGATGATGATGATGATGATGATGATGATGATGATGATGATGATGATGATGATGATGATGATGATGATGATGATGATGATGATGATGATGATGATGATGATGATGATGATGATGATGATGATGATGATGATGATGATGATGATGATGGTGATGATGATGATGATGATGGTGGTGATGATGATGACGATGACCGCGACGACGGCGGTGGTGATTTCTGGTCTTGGTGCTGACGAGGATGGGGAGGAGGAGCGGGCCTTCTCCAGAGTTCGAAGCGCCGCGCTCCTCGAGGGATCCTGTTGATCGCCCAGACCACTCCCATCTTCCACCCCCATGAACTTAACGATTTTATTTTGGGGCTGATGCATCGGTGAATTCGCGCTTCTTTCTGCGGGTTGCTTCCGTAATCTATCCATTCGAAGGTTGGCGCCAGTCCCAACTTTCTTACTGGATCAATCCCAGACTGGAGTTTCGGTGCGTAGCGGTGCGCGCGGAACCACCCTTCGAGCGGCGCACCCGCAGACAGCGTCGAGTTTGCGTGCCCCGCCCTGGGCGCCATAGTGGGAACTTCATGGGCACAGACAAGGGGCGCGCAGCGGCGCCGCCCTCTCCCCCCCCACCCCCGCCCACCCCGCCCGCTGGTCCGCGGATTGGCCTCCTGTTTCACTCGCCCCGCGCAGGGCGCCAAGGCGGACGCGTCCCCGCCCGCGGATCGAGCGGCACGCGTGCCGTGGCTCCTACACAGGAGGAGGAGGAGGGGGCAGGGGGAGGAGGAGGAGGAGGAGGAGGAGGAGGAGGAAGGAGGAGGAGGAGGAGGAGGAGGAGGAGGCGGAGGAGGAGGAGGAGGGAGGAGGAGGAGGGAGGATGAGGACGAGGAGGAGGAGAGGGAGGGAGGGCAGTGGAGGGAGGGGAGGGAGGAGGGAGGGAGGAGGGTAGGAAGGGAGCGGAGGAGGGAGGGAGGAGGAGGGGGGGGGGGGAGGAGGAGGAGGAGGAGAGGAGAGGAGAGGAGGAGGAGGAGGAGGAGGAGGAGGAGGAGGAGGAGGAGGAGGAGGAGGAGGAGGAGGAGGAGGAGGAGGAGGAGGAGGAGGGGCGAGAGGAGGAGGAGGAGGAGGAGGAGGAGGAGGAGGAGGAGGAGGAGGAGGCCTCCCCGCGGGCCCCCCGCGCACGGCGCGCGGGGCGCCAGCCAGGGTTGGTCGGGGTTGCCGTGCACCGTCGGGGCGGAGGAGGTCGGGGCGGAGGTGTTGCCGAAACATATGGTGGGGCTGTGCGGACCAAAAGGGCCTTGACGTGAGGCCCCTCCTTCTGTTTTCCTTCCTCTGTTAATTAAAGCTGTGCGCGGCCCGCTTAGCTTCGACCGGAAAAGGCTCGCTCTCGACCCGCGGATCAAAAAAAATTGTGCGGACCCAGAGGGTGCAGTCTAAAGTCGGGAACTGGAGCGTATACATTACCAGCGGCGGGCCGTTTTGAATCCCGGGATTCCTTCGAGGGTCGGAGACGACGGCGGGGTGGTGTGGTGCATACTTGTTGTGTCCGTTTCCCGGGGAATCTGCGAAAAATGTATACACACCAGGATCCCGTATACACCGGGATCCGTTTTCTTGTGCGAGTGCCAGTGCATGGCAGGAAGACGCAAGCGGTGCATAGAGCTCGTTTCCTTACAAAGTGGATCGGTGTAGCGGCGTAGGGATTCGCATGAAAAGGCGTGTGCGGTGCTGCGGCGCTCCTCCCCGATCCCGGCAGGCCTGCGTCGTCCTGCGCGCGGGCATCAGCGCCGAGAGGACGGCGAGCCAACTGAACAGCAGCGAGGCGCGGTTGCCTGTCCACGTTCGTCGCCCTCGTCTCCAAGGAGGCACGAGGAGTCACGAGGAGGAGGAGGAGGAGGAGGAGGAGGAGGAGGAGGCGGAGGAGGCGGAGGAGGCGGAGGAGGCGGAGGGGAGGGGGAGGGGGAGGAGGGGAGTTGCGGCGGGAGATAACGCACAGGGGGGGAGGGGTCGTTTTCCCCTTGTCCCCTCCAATGGGGCACCGTTTGTCGGCTGCTATGTTAAGGGCTCTGGGCCAGGGTTAGTCTCCGGGTCATCCTCTGCTCGAGATTGTTCGCGTGGGACGGGATTTTTTGGTCTCCAGCCTTCTATGGGGAGATGCGGGTACCACACGATAAAGATTCAATGTAAATGGGAGGGGGAGGGGGAGGAGAAGGAATGAGGGGGGGGAGGCGAAGGAGGAGGATCGGATCCCTTGTGTCTCAGCCCCCCCCCCGACTCCTCCCTTTCCTCCTCTCCTCCTTTTCCTCCTCTCCTCATTGTCCTCTGTGTCCTTTTTTCTTCTTTGTCTTCCCTTCTCCTCCGCTCCCTTTCCTACTCACTCCTATTCCTCCCCCACTTCTCCCCGCAATCTCCACACATTTCCCCACCCTCCCCTCCTCCCCTCGCCCGCCTCCTCATTCTCCGCCTCCCCTCTCCCATTTTTCCCACATGCTTCGTGGGGTTCTGGTTTTCTTCCCTGCCGCGCCGCACCCGCGTCTCCTCACACCTACCCTCCTCTCTCTTTCTTCCCCCCCTCACTGACACACACACACACACACACACACACTTCACTCTTCCCCCCCTCGTCACAGCACTGCTCAGCTCAGCTCAACTCACCTCAGCACAGCACAGCACAGCTCAGCTCAGCTCAGCACAGCTCGGCTCAGCTCAGCACAGCTCAGCACAGCCCAGCACGGCTCAGCTCAGCACAGCACAGCACAGCTCGTGGCACTTTCTCGACACCACAGGGGGTGCGCAGGGGGTGGTCTCTCAGCTCGGCCGTTATCCACGACACTGGCGCAAAGCCTAGCAGGCGTGGCACTCTCTCGACACCACAGGGGGTGCGCAGGGGGTGGTCTCTCAGCTCGGCCGCTATCCACGACATTGGCGCAACGCCTAGCAGGCGTGGCACTTTCTCGACACCACAGGGGGTGCGCAGGGGGTGGTCTCTCAGCTCGGCCGCTATCCACGACACTGGCGCAAAGGCTAGCAGGCGTGGCGCTTTCGCGACACCACAGGGGGTGCGCAGGGGGTGGTCTCTCAGCTCGGCCGCTATCCACGACACTGGCGCAAAGCCTAGCATGCGTGGCACTTTCTCGACACCACACGGGGTGCGCAGGGGGTGGTCTCTCAGCTCGGCCGCTATCCACGACACTGTCGCAAAGGCTAGCAGGCGTGGCACTTTCTCGACACCACAGGGGGTGCGCAGGGGGTGGTCTCTCAGCTCGGTCGCTATCCACGACACTGTCGCAAAGCCTAGCAGGCGTGGCACTTTCTCGACGCCAAAGGGGGTGGGCAGGTGGTGGTCTCTCAGCTCGGCCGCTATCCACGACACTGGCGCAAAGCCTAGCAGACGTGGCACTTTCTCGACACCACAGGGGGTGGGCAGGGGGTGGTCTCTCAGCTCGGCCGCTATCCACGACAATGGCGCAAAGGCTAGCAGGCGTGGCACTTTCTCGACACCACAGGGGGTGCGGAGGGGGTGGTCTCTCAGCTCGGCCGCTATCCCCGACACTGGCGCCCCCCCCAAAGCCTAGCAAGCTTCAAAACGAGGTCCGAAACACCACAGGGTGGGATTGATGGGGGTGGTTCGCGCAGCTCGGTCGCTATTCCACGACCGGCGCAATGCCTAGTAGGGTTGGCACTTTCTCGACACACGGGGGGTTGCCTCCGACACCACGGGGGGTTGCGCAGGGGCGTGTGGGTCTCTGCAGCTCGGCCGCTATCCACGACACTGGCGCAAAGGGGGGGGGTGGAAGCAGGCGTTTTGCACTTTCTCGACACCACAGGGGCGGTGCGCAGTGGGTGTCTCTCAGCTCGGCCGCTATCCACGACACTGGCGCAAAGCCTAGCAGGCGTGGCACTTTCTCGACACCACACGTGGTGCGCAGGGGGTGGTCTCTCAGCTCGGCCGCTATCCACGACACTGGCGCAAAGCCTAGCAGGCGTGGCACTTTCTCGACACCACACGGGGTGCGCAGGGGGTGGTATCTCAGCTCGGCCGCTATCCACGACACTGGCGCAAAGCCTAGCAGGCGTGGCACTTTCTCGACACCACAGGGGGGTGCGCAGGGGGTGGTCTCTCAGTTCGGCCGCTATCCACGACACTGGCGCAAAGCCTAGCAGGCGTGGCACTTTCTCGACACCACAGGGGGTGCGCAGGGGGTGGTCTCTCAGCTCGGCCGCTATCCACGACACTGTCGCATAGCCTAGCAGGCGTGGCACTTTCGCGACACCACAGGGGGTGCGCAGGGGGTGGTCTCTCAGCTCGGCCGCCATCCACGACACTGGCGCAAAGCCTAGCAGGCGTGGCACTTTCTCGACACCAAAGGGGGTGGGCAGAGGGTGGTCTCTCAGCTCGGCCGCTATCCACGACACTGGCGCAAAGCTTTGCAGCCGTGGCACTTTCTCAACACCACAGGGGGTGCGCAGGGGGTGGTCTCTCAGCTCGGCCGCTATCCACGACACTGGCGCAAAGCTTCGCAGCCGTGGCACTTTCTCGACACCACACGGGGTCTCTGAGCGCGGCCGCCACCCACGACACTGTCGCAAAGCTTAGCAGGCGTGGCACTCTCCCGGGACTATAGGGCCAGCGCAGGGGGTGATCTCTTGGTGCAGTGATTATCCACCGCATTGCGCGTGAGAGCTTGCGTCTTACCCTGATCCGTAAACATCGCGGCTCAAGCCGGCGCGGCACGACTGCGCATTTACGCAAGTTTGTCTGTGCTCCAACTTGCGGGCAACAACCGCCCGGCCTACGCGCGGCAGCAATGCCGCCCAAAATTTGGCGTTGGATGACCCATAGGGAACATTCGCGACGAGGGCTCAGAACGCAGGATTGTGCATATATATATATATATTATACATAAGCAAACACATAAGATTTAAATCAAGTATGTGGGGTTCCTCGGTAGCATAATCTCCTGGCTCAAGCTCCCTCTCGCCCTCTCGCGTGTCCCAGCTCCCCGAGCCTCCGCCACGGCGGCGGCTGCCCAGGCAGCCTTGTGGGGTGCGCGGTTCGGCGACGGCACAGGGCTCGGACCGACGAAGATGCCAAGCGTCGGCGAGGCGCTCTGCAGCGAGGTGAACGAGCATCGGCAGGGCCACCCTCGACCAAAGATCAAACGACACCACCCCGCCTACGGCCCTCCACGCAGTGGGGGGCGCGCCTCAAGAAACCGTCTGCTTTTCGTCAGGGTATCCTGGGTTTCCTCGCTCCTCGCGCTGCGCGGTGACTTCCCGCGGCCGTTGAAGGAGCTGCTGCGTTCAGGGTGCTTGCGGCCGCGCCCGCACTGAATTGCGCTACGGTCCATCGGGCGTCTGAGCGTATACCACGCAACAGCCTACGCCTGACTTCCTGGTATACGCTAAGCGCCCTGGGGCCGGATGTGGGGTGGTGTCGTTCGTTTCCTGGTCCAAGCCCAGATCTGGCCAGGAAATGGCGAGGCTTCTGCCAGAATCTGGAGGTCATGCGCGGGTAGCTGCAGGCGCAGGCCATGGCGAATTGCGACCAGAGGAGCCTGGAAGGGGGCGACGAGCAGGTGCAATGCTGCGTGAAAGCCATTGAACTAGACCCGCAGCTCATTCCCAGGGTCGAGAATATCAATAAGAACAGTCTCGAGGCAATGTCTAAGTGGTATAGACGTCAGTCATTGAACGTATGTATTTTCGGAAATCCAGATCCCAATCTACCTTAGGCGCCTTCCTACTTCAAGGGTCGAGCGGTATTCCCTCTTCCCTCCTCTTCAAGGGGCGGGCGGAAACCCAATCTACTTCCAACGCCTTCCTACTTCATGTTTCTACCCACTTCTTCCGACCGACGGATAAGGATGAGGAGCTGATTTGGCAATTCAGCAAGTCCACGGGCTGCGTGACGCAGAATCTTCCGCTGGCATTGAAGAACATGGACGACTCGCAGCTCTGATTGCGCGAGAGCACCGAGGACGTCTGCGCCACCACCGGTGCGACGGGGCTCGGGACCAACCGCAACGGCCAGGACAACGCTGAGATGATGATGCGCAGGTGTCCCGCAACGGCCTGCACGGGGCTCCCGAAGCGCACCCAGCGTTCCCTCGCAACGGTATCGACGGCATCGTGCAGAACCACGTCGACGAGGAGGACCACGAAGAGGAGCACGCTGGGGATCAGGCCGAGAATCTGGAGGAGGAGACGCTCTGCTACACCACCCTCGACCTCGAGAGGGAGATGGCGGCTGCCGCGGATAGCTCAGACAAAGGGAAGATTTACGAGCTTCTGGGCGAAAAACACATCACAGTGGACAGCGAGCACGGTCCGCGATAAGGATGCCAGCGGCGTTCACGACACCGCCTTCGAGTCCATCGCGAAGTATGGCATTGGTGTTTACGTGGATGGCGACCCTTCTTTCCACGTGCCTTGCAGCATCGATCAAGTCGAGGGCAAGAGTGGCCGGCACATAGGGTGGAAGCTGAAGGGACTGAAAAGGACCCCGCCCAGAGCATAACCGCACACCGCCAAACCCCCATCATCTTGCTGCTGACCCCCACCACCCTGCTGCTGACCCTTCTTTGTGCACTGGTTCCTGAATCAGTATGTCCACGACTTCACTACGAAGGCCTTGCGGCCGGTGCCGCCGACCCTGAATGGGAATGACGACGAGGACAGCGACGATGTAAACGTTCAGAAAGCTAAGGAATGGGAGGGAGGAGGCGAGGGGGACGGAGGAGGCGAAGGGGGAGGGAAAAAGGAGGGAGGAGGGGAGACCATTCGGAGGAGGAGGGATTCGAGGAGGAGGAGGGAGGAGGGAGGAGGGAGGAAGGGGAAAAGGAGGGGACGGAGGGATGAGGGAGGAGGGACGAGATGTGGTTCCCGAAGTGTGCTGCCCACGACACTGTACATGCACCTCGATCCTGAGCCTACGGCCTCCTGCGCCCTGCCCACACGGGGCACGGACGCCCGTGCGCCGAACTCTGGCGCCTCGCTTCGGGAGGGACTGGAGGAGGAGGAGGAGGAGAAGAGAAGGAGGGGAGGAGGATGGAGGAGGAGGAGGAGGAGGAGGAGGATGAGAAAGAGGAGGAGGAGGAGGAGGAGGAGGGAGAGGAGGAGTTGAGGAATTTGGAAGAGAAGGAGGAGGAAGAGGAGGAGGAGGAGAGAGGAGGATGGAGGAGGAGGAGGGAGGGGAGGAGGAGAGGAGGAGGAGGAGGAGGAGGAGGAGGAAGGGAGGAGGAGGAGGAGGAGGAGGAGGAGGGGCGTGAGGGGGAGGGGGAGGGGGAGGAGGGTGGGGACATAGCACAGAAGATGGCTGCAACATCGTGCGTACCCGACTGAGGCAGAGGGTGGGACACAGGTGCTGCTGCGCGTGCTCGGTGCAAGTCTGGGCGCGCCCTCGGCGCGCGGTGCCCGCGCGCGGAGGGGCTGCGCGGAGCGAGACCGCGTGTGGCCCGCAGCGGCAGGAGGAGGAGGAGGAGGAGGAGGAGGAGGAGGAGGAGGAAGAGGGGGAGGAGGAGGAGGAGGAGGAGGAGGAGGAGGAGGAGGAGGAGGAGGAGGACCTCGCCTCGCTTCGCCTCCTGCCCTTGGCGGAGAAAGCTGTGTAGAGCCCCCAGCTGCAGCAGGAGCAGGGCCCTCGGGAACATGCCGGTGCCTGGTTGCGCGTCTCGGGGCTGTCGACTAGGCGCAAGAGTGACCTTTCGCCGGAGTGACCTTTGGTGCGGGCCCAGATGGGTCCCCAGATGGCTGAAAACGAAGCAGTAGCAGCTGCTTGCGCGCCCAGGTTTGGCCCCCCCGCGGCCCCCCAAAAAATCGCGCACCAAAGGTCACTCTTACCCAGGGTCACTCTTGCGTATAGCCGAGTCTGTCATCTGATACGATGGCATCTCCGTGTGTCACTGCTCACGCTGGCGCCCATGGCAGCTCGAGCGCCAGCACCAACACCATCACCCGCGGTGGTCACGACGCCAACGCCAGCGCCATCACCCACACCAACAGAAATCTACCAAAACCAGACTCCACTGCCAGCGCTCTCCGAGATCGAGCCTGGTGCTCTTGCCCAGATTTTCGGCCACGCTCGCAGGACAGGCATCGAAAAGTACCCCAACGATACAGGCGCATTTTGCAAAGCCCTCATCTCTTCCAAGGTCCAGACTCACAGGTATATACGCAGGTATCGACGCCAACATTAATTACGACCGACACCCCCGTCAATATGGATAACAGCATCAAATGGGATGCCAACACGATGCTGAATCTCATCATCCTCCGACTCCGCGGAGGTGGGCCGGCCACGTTGCCCACGGGGATCATAGGGTCGCCTCAGCAAGTTGGACTGTCTACATGCTAGAGGATTTCCTTTTCAAAATAGAGCTCTTGCTTGAGACTTCCTGGACATGTGCGATCCGAAGTGCAAAGTTGTTCGACAACCATAGGGATGCAAGGTGGCTCCTGCTGTGAAGTTGAGTCTCTCGCTTGAGGCATGTTGGAGGCTTCGTCAACATGTGCGACCCGACGTAAGATTGTGCAGCAGTTTCTCCATCTCTGGAGAGCGCCCCCTTCTCAAAGAAAGGCCCTCGCTCGGTATCTCCTTCAATTCTCAGGTCCTCTCAGTTCTTTGGGCAGATTCCTCTCAACACGGAGCTCTCGCCTGAAGGTCTGTGGGGCGCTCACCTTTCAATGGGGAGCGTTCCCCGCCGCCAGCAGACAATGCCTGCAACGGCTCATAAGAGGGGACTTGGGGAACGGGAGGGTGTCTTGCAGTATCCTTGATGCATTACCCAGGTCCTCTTCCTCCTCCTCCTCCACTGTCTTCCTCCCCCGTCCTCCCCTCCCCGCGGCAGGAGGGCCCTTACTCATCAGCTGCGCACCGTCTCTTGGTGCTCGGCCCTGCGCCGCGGGGACATGGACAGTGCCATTTGCGCCTCACGGCTTGGTGTCAGCATGCCCGCTCGTCTTTTGGGTCCCGCCCCGCGGCACCGCGCCGTGGGCCGTGGCATTCCGCTACGCCCGTGACGCTGGAGCCACCTCGAGCTTCCGGGCGCGGGGATCGCGCAGTCGGTGGAGCGGCGGGGCCGCGTGGTCGGTCCAGGAGTCCCTTGGGGCCTTCGCGCCTGCTCGCCATAGGGGTGCCAGCCGAGCTGCACGTGTCCTGTGTTTTGGGAGGGGATGATAGTCCTGAGGGGCCTCAGAGTGAGGAGGTGGACCGACCGTCCCTCTGCGCACCACCGCCATCACGTGTGAGCAACGAATCGCGGGGCGACCAGGCGCTGACCTGTACCTCGGCCGTGCTGCGTGGGCTCCTCGCCGATGAGCGAGCGGCCTCCCCTGCGCGCGAGGAGGGAGGTCTCCCCGTGCAGGGGCGGACAGCGGCCCGTCTTGCTATGAGGCGGTATTCTCGTGTGCGGCAATCCTCTCGCGCGGGTTCACTTTTCTGTTCTCCATGTTTCCATGGTTCCCCTCTCCTTCCCTTTCCCTTTCCCCCCAGCCCCTGGGGGAGCTGGAAGAGGATAGAGGGGAGGAGGAGGAGGAGGAGGAGGAGGAGGAGGAGGAAGGAGGAGGAGGAGGAGGAGGAGAGGAGGAGGAGGAGGAGGAGGAGGAGGAGGAGAGGAGGAGGAGAGAGGAGGAGAGGAGGAGAGGAGGAGGAGGAGGAGGAGGAGGGGAGGAGGAGGAGGAGGAGGAGGAGGAGGAGGAGGAGGAGGAGGAGGAGGAGGGGAGGAGGGCGGAGGAGGAGGAGGAGGAGGAGGAGGAGGAGGAGGGAGGAGGGGAGGAGGAGGAGGAGGAGGAGGAGGAGGGAGGAGGAGGAGGAGGAGGACCGGAGGAGGAGGAGTAGGAGGAGGAGGAGGAGGAGGAGGAGGAGGAGGAGCGAGGAGGAGGAGGAGAGGAGGAGGAGGAGGAGGAGGAGGAGAGGAGGAGGAGGAGGAGGAGGAGGAGGAGGAGGCGGAGGAGGAGGAGGAGGGAGGAGGAGGGGATGCGGAGGAGGAAGGCGGAGGAGGAGGAGGCGGAGGAGGAGGGCGAGGAGGAGGAGGAGGAGGAGGAGGAGGGAGGAGGAGGAGGAGGAGGAGGAGGAGGCGGAGGAGGAGGAGGAGGAGGAGGATGAGGAGGAGGAGGAGGAGGAAGGAGGAGGAGGAGGAGGAGTAGGAGGAGGAGGAGGGAGGAGGAGGAGGGAGGAGGAGGAGAGGAGGAGAGGAGGAGAGGAGGAGGAGGAGGAGGAGTGAGGGAGGAGGAGGAGGAGGAGGAGGAGGGAGGAGGGCGGAGGAGGAGGAGGAGGAGGAGGAGGAGAAGGAGGAGGAGGAAGGAGGAGGAGGAGAGGAGGATGAGGAGGAGGAGGAGGAGGAGGATGAGGAGGAGGAATGGTAGATTACTGCTGACGTCGGGATGCTATTGTCTGGAACCCCGTCGGAACGCATCTTCGAGATGAATTGGTCTTCGAACGATTGGAGTTGTTTTGGCGTAGCCTGCCGAAATGCCCTTGTGCCCGTGAGAGGGAATTCGCCCTGGGTTGCCTTCTGGGGATGTTACATGAGGGCGATATACATGGATGGTTTGCTTTTCCGCCTCTGCATCCAACACGATCCAACACCGTTCCTCTCCAACCACATTCTTGCTGCTTCTCTCGTGTGCGTCCTCCGCGCGAAGGTTGGCGACGGCGAGCTGATGGAGATTGGGGGGGACGCTGTTTTTGCATAGGGTCATAGGTAGACCAGTGGCCAGTTGCGGGGATCATGATTGAAAGCGTAGCGTGGAAGAAGGGGAAAAGGGATTATGACGACGAGGATGAGGGAATGGCCTCCCGCCGCGCCAGATACAATGGCACCGTGCAGTCATTGACAGAGTGATGGCAACATGCAACATGCAGCGCCAAAGCCATCAAATCATGACAGTACGTCGGTTCCGAGATGCCGCGCGAGAGGTGGTCCTGCCCATTTCGCCCGAAAAAGCCTCGTGACTTTGGGCTATTAGACATAAGCACGAAGCACAGGGTTGTCCAGCCTGTTTCGCCTGACACATCCTCACAATTCGCGGCTCCGAGATGCTGCGTGCAAGGTGGTCCAGCCCGTGTCGCTTGAGGCATCCTCGAAATTGGGCCCCGAGGGGGAGGAATACAATTATGTTGTGTAATTGTGTCGTGGGGGGGGCTTGGGCGCCGCCTGACATCTTCGCAGCTATGAGTTCCCAGATGTCGCGGGCGAGGCGGTCCAGCCCGTTTCGCCTGAGACATCCTCGCAAGTCGGGGCTCCGAGATGCTGCGAGGTGGTCAAGCCCATTTCACTTGATCAATCCTCCCAACGCTGGGCTCTTCGCGAGGTGGTCCGGCGTGCTTCACCTGGGACATCCTCGAAACTCTGATCGATCTCCGAGATGCTGCGCGCGAGGTGGTTTTGCCCATTTCGCCTGAGACATCCTCGCAACGCTAGGCTCCGAGATGCCGCGCACGACGTGGTCCAGCGCGTTTCGCCTGAGATATCCTCGCAAGTCTGAGCTCCTAGATGCCAGGCGAGAGGTGGTCGGGTCCGAGTCTCCTGAGACATCCTTGCAATGTTGGGCTCCCAGATGCCGCGCGCGAGGTGGTCTGGTCCGTTTCGCTGGAGACATCCTCGTAATTCTGGGTTTGGGGATGCCGCGAGAGGTGGTCCGCTCCGTTTCGCCTGAGACATTCTTTTGATTTTGACTCGGCGAAGATGAACGCGAGGTGGTTCGGCTTGTTTGGCGTGAGATATCCTCGAAATTCTGGGCTCTGAGAAATTGTGTGCAAGGTGGTCTAGCCAGCTTCTCCTGAAACATCCGACTCCAAGACGCCGCGCGCGAGGTGGTCTCGCCTGTTTCGCCTGAGACATTCTCGAAACTCTGGGCTCCGAGAGGGAGGAGGGAGGAGGGAGGAGGGGTCAGACCCAAGCGAACCATGTTATTACACTTCTGTTGTCGAATTGTGTTGTCGGAGGGGCCTCTGCGCCGCCTGACACCCTTGCAACTCTGAGCTCCCAGGTGTCGCGCGCGAGGTGGTCCAGCCCGTTTCGCCTGACAGATCCTTGCAATTCGCGGCTCCGAGATGTCGCGCGCGCGCGGTGGTCTGGCCCGTTTCGCCTCAGACATCCTCGAATTTCTTGGCTAAGAGAAAACATCCACGATGTGGTCCAGCTCGTTTCGCCTGAGACATCCTCGCAGTTCTGGACTTGCAGAACATGTGCGCGAGGTGGTCTGGCCCGTTTCGTTCGAGATATCCTCGCAACTCGGGGCTCCGAGATGCTGCGCGTGAGCTGATCTTGCCCGTTTCGCTGGAGACATCCTCGAAATTCTGGGCTCCGAGAGGGAGAAGGGAGGAGAGAGAAGGGGTCAGACCCCAAACAAACCATTTGATTTTAGTCCGTAGCCACTTTGGCTCAAGCCATTTGGGCACAAGCCTCCCAGGATCGAGGAAGCACCGTGGAGCCAACGCTCGGTTACCGGAGACTGCCTGTATCATGAGCTTCCCCGGCACGGCCGACGAGGAGATGCAGCGGGCCCTGGAGGCTGTGAAGGCTGCCAAGGCCCTGAAGGCCATGAAGGCCCGGCGCAGGGTGCGGATCACCAGGCAGGTGCACGCGAGGGTGCTCCTGCAGCAGGCGGCCTCGGGCTGCGACGACAAGCGCGGCGCGCGCCAGGCCTCCGCGCGCCAGGGCGAGGCGCCGAGCACCGAGGACCCGCCGCAGCGGTGACCACCCCACGGCCGGCCGGCCCTGCTGTCCTCGCCCTCCTCGCTTGCCCCTCCCCCTCCTCCTCATCGTTTTCCTCCTGCTCCTCCGTCTCGCATCGGCTGTCCTGTGGCGGAGAGGGCCGCGCGGACGTTGCAGTAGGTTGGGCATCGTACGACCAGCCGTCCTTGGTCCCATTGCCCATTGCGTTACAGGTGCGCAGCCCAGGCGAACGGTCAGTAACTACACCGCCGACGCACTGGCCGTTCGCAAACTCAGCCATGCGTGCCGACCTCGTCACGTTTCCTGTTTTTTGTATGGTTCGGCTCCCTCGTCGAATTCCTTCCTGGAGGTCGGCGGACGGCAGACACTCTGCGTGGAAGCCCACGCGAGTGCCAGAGACCGTTCGGAAGGGTGGGAACCTATTGGCAAATGACAAATTACGTGGCCAGTGCATGCGATATGCTCTGTGCATCGCACACGGTGCGCTGCACCCACGGCTTAGCTGGGGACCGGGCTGCCCCGTGGGCACAGTCGCTGTCTTGAATGTTACAGAAATCTCACATTTGATTTTATGTCGAGGGAGTGACCCTTGGCTGCGAGCTCTGGTCACCAGGCTCGATCACTGCCAGCAGCCTTCGTGCAATGGTGCTTGGGTCTTGCGAGGAGTGTTATGGCTGAGTAAGGCGACGACTGAGGGGGGGTCACGAGAATCGGAAACGGGCCATGGGTTGAGTGTGGGTATGCCCTTGCGTGCACTAGTGCTTGCTCGCGTCCGTGTGGTCGCTCAACTTCTGCTGCAGGTCGGTGCTGTAGTACTTGATTTGTTCTTAGATTCTGGTGGGCTACCATTGTTGTGTTTGTCTCCCTTCTCCCCGATGCTTACCCCACGCATGTTTCTCTCTTCCCCTCCATGTCTCATTTTCTCATCTGTATCCCTCGGTATCCTATTGGCTTCATCTCCCATGTGGCAGCAGCATCGCTAGAAGATCGAAGGCGGTATGCCCTGAAGCGCAGGACGCTACCGCCAATCGCCCAGTCTGGCGATGAGAGTTCGCACGTGTCCGGCGTGCTGGAATGCAACCTGCGCGGAGACCATTTGGCAATCCGCTTGCGGCTCTATCTGTGCATAGCGTATACGAGGAAGGTATGGTCAGTCCGCTGCGGGCACTCGGCCCCAGCACGGG